AGTTAAAGGAACTTATAGTTACTTGCCAAAAGGTGCTGTGCCTTTTCCTCCATGGAGACTTTTCTAACCTTAGAAAAGAAATCAGGATTCCTTGGTACCTTCTGCTGGACAATCTGGATTCAAGACTAATTATAAAAAAAAACAAAATAAAACAAAGCACAGAAGCCTACATTTATGCAATTGCCAATATTTTCTTTATTAAATGCAAGAAAGTTTCATAATTTTACCTGAAACTTAAATTTATTTGAGAAATTTCCTATGGAAGAAAATCCTAAACCTTCCTTAAATTTCCAAAAGCAGAAGCTGGAAATGTGAGTGTCCAGGGTACACGCTGAGCCCATAGGAAGAAGGATTGGTTAGGAGTGGGAGAGAGGCTGGATGGAGCAAGAGTCTTGGACTTGCCCATGCTGGACAGACAAGGCAGGAGGAACCTGAGAGGGATGGGTACTGGGGGAGAGGCAGTGCGGCAGAGTGGTGAAGAATGTGTTCTAAGGAGTCGATGTGCTTGGCATGGATCCTGACCTTGACCTTCACTGGCTAAAGAATCTTGGGCAAGTCATTCAGTCTCCAGGTCTGGTGGGTATGTTCTCTTGGTAAAATTTATGTGGACTCACTTTAAATGAACATTCAGTTTCTTTTAATATTGATAACATTGATGTGCTTCGGCTGTGAGACAAATTCAGTGTTTTCACCTAAGTTAACATGTAAAAAACTGGCCTTAATGATTTTGAGGATAGTGATTTTTTTTTTATTTTAGTATTTGATAAAATGTTGATTTTACCAAGCGCTGCCCTAACCATGGTTAGGTGATTTCCTAATTCTAGTGAAAATAATTTAAAATGAAAAAAAATCTTTTTAAACTTCATTTGTGATAGTGGCAAAATTATTTAAAATCTAGGTAAATGTAACAAAAATAATATAGGATATAAATAAAGGTAAGGATGCAGCCATAGTAGCAATTTTACAATACCACTCATTAAATAAACATTCCTCTTTCCCCTGGTTTGAAAAGTTAGTTAATTATATGTAAATGATATCTATCATTACTTCTAATGGAAGTTCTTAGCCAGACAAATGGAGGAATTTCAAAAAAGGTACAGGTGTTTTCTTTCTTTCTTTCTTTTTTAAGGTACAGGTGTGAGAAAGGAAGAAATAAAACTGTCATTATTCATAGACACAAAAAACTCAAAGAAGTTTCAGATAAACTCTTAGAATAAATAAATTCAAGGAAGTTGCTATATGTACAATCAATACAAATATATTTTTATTTCTATTTAGAATAAGCACAACTAGAAGTGAAATTTAAAAAGCTATCAATTATAGAAGTATCAGTAATTTACATAAGTGTACAAAGAATTTAAAGACCATTAGAACAAGAACAAAGCTGACAGACTTAAACTTTTGGCTATTATGTCTTATTAAAGAACCGCAAGAACACAGAATGAAACTGGAGTAAGTATAGATAAACAGAATAGAGTTCAGCGGCTAAAAAGAGAGAATCTCTATTCTACAAACACATAAATAGAATGAGAGTCCAGAAAGAAACCCATACATATACAGTGATTTTTCCATACAGTGCAGAAGGAAAAACATTTTCAATAAATGAGTCTGGGTCAGGTGAATATCTATATAGAAAAGTAACACACCTCAGTCCTTAACCTTATAGAGCATTCAAAATCAATTCCAAATTGATCATAGGAGCACATGCAGAAGATAAAACAATAAATCTTCCAGAGAATATCATAAAGGATTTTATCTTCATGACCCTGGTCATGGCAAGGATTTCATAATTAGGACCCACATAAAAAATTACCATTCCTAGAATAAAGACTATAAATTGGACTGTATTTAAACTATCTTTAAGTGAAATGGTGAGCCACAGTGTAGGAGCATGTGTGTGTGTGTGTGTGTGTGTGTGTGTGTGTGTGGGAGAGAGAGAGAGAGAGAGAGAGAGAGAATAAAGGATTAGTTCCTAGAATATATTAAGAATTCCCATATGTATCCATAAAAAATATGAACTTCATGGAGAGACCTATACCATAAATAAGGTGTTATTAGTTGTCAAGGACATGACATTAAAACATAATGAGTTTCTTTTTCTGTTTTGTTTTGTTTTGTTATATTGGGTCTTGAACTCAGGAGCACGCGACCACTGAGCCACATCCCCAGCTCTATTTGTATTTTATTTAGAGACAGAGTCTCACTGAGTTGCTTAGTGCCTAGGTGTTGCTGAAGCTAGCTTTGAACTTACGATCCTCCTGACTCAGCCTCCTGAGCTTCTGGGATTACAGGTGTGTGCCACCACTCCCTGACCATAATGAGTTTCTTAATGCATACGAAACACCAGAATGGCCAAAATATTAAACTGAAATTATCAAAGTTTGTAAAAATATGGAATAAGCAGAGCTTTCATACATTGCTGATAGAGAGTGTGAGTTTGAAAACTATGGTCCAGTTGTCTTAAGGGTAAACACATGCATACCCAGTAACCTGGTAAGTCTCACTATTTCTTGATCTGTGTGATGGTTTCATAAATATGTTCATTTTGAAATATATATATATATATATATATATATATGTGTGTGTGTGTGTGTGTGTGCATATATACATATGCACACACACATATATATTTATTTCAATCAGAAATTTACCTTAAAATTGTGTGTATCAATACAAAAATATAGAATACTATGTTCTAGCATAGGCATAAGTACATGAAGTACTAGACTTACCTTCCAAAGGGCTTAAAACACTTAGGTGTCTAGAAAGGTAGGGTGGCTCCTAACATTTTTATAATAATTTGTATTCTCCTGAGGACAGACAGGGATCAGTGCCTTCTGGGTGACAACTGCTTTTATCTTTCTAATGTGAAACTTTGGCCTGTGGCTTCCATAAGTAAACTCACCAGTTAATCTTTCTGCTTTGACCAATGGTGACCTGTGTACAGAGGTTCAATGAAAGGGTCAAAAGCCAAAATGCTCTATTTGTATCTAGTAAATAAATTATGTCATAAAGATAACTCTAATATTAAATAAAACTAACTTGGCCACCTTGTTTTTTTAAAACCATTTCTACTTAATGGAAAGGGTTCTGCAACAAAAGAGCGTTCTAAAGAAAATATAAATATTTTTAATACCAATTTTTTTTCCTTGTTCACTTCTTTGGAAGCCATCTACTCAATGTTATTAAATTGGATATGAGATTTTTCATCACATAAAATAGATCAAATGTTCAGAGCAATTAAATAGCAATGAGATACAACCAAAATAAGCATGGTTACTRTATGTAGTTCCAATGCATTAATAAAGCAATTAGAATTAATTCCCAAAATTGTTCCCTTTTCACTGAATAAAAATTATAATGAAATAGCAAAAGTGACAACAAAAATGAGGGTTTCTGACATTCCATAACATGCTACCTTGGGTTTGAGGAAATTCTCACATATTTCTGGTTGAAGTGTTAATTGCCATAACTTATTTGGAAAGTAATTCTAGAAAGAAATGTTAAAATGTAAAAGATAAACACCCCTTGACTAAACAAAACAATTTCAGAGACTCAGTAATACAGAAATAAAAAACCACTATATCCAGGGATTATCTATCTATAAATAGGCAAGCATGTACAAAAAAGCAGAAGTGAGCTCTGCAGAGAATGATGGAACAAATCAGGAGCTGGCCAGCCCAACTGTTGCATACCCATAAAGAAGGATGGATTCAGTAATAATAGTATTATGTCGTTTTTCTCAAGTAGTCATTGTAGTATGCTAGGTGCCATTTATTTGTATGAACTCATTCAATCCTTGTAAAAACAATATGGTATTATCATTTCTATTTCATGGATGATGAAATTAAGATTCAGGCAGATCAAATACTTGACCCCCTCGCAGAGCTGGTGTGTATGAAGTCTGAATTTGAACCAGGCAGTCTTACTCTAGAAGGCGCACTCTTAACTTCCATGTAGTTCCCTGAATCAATTAAGAAGGGAGTTCTCTTATATATCATTAATGAAGAAGAAAATAATGGAAAGGTGGTCATCCCGTTTAAAAAAGAAACACAAAAGCCATAGGAAAAAAATGATTATATATCAGAATTGATAAAGGAAGGGGGAGATGATATTAAGCTTTTTAATGCCTCTTTATTGTTTCAAGTTCTAGAAATCATTGGGATACATTTGTTTTAAGTGAAGAAAAAGTTAACAAAAACCAGCCTCCACTTTTTTTTAAGTTCATTGTGCTTCTTTGAGAATAAAAGGAATGAATGGTTTATTTAATAAGTAGACAGGAAATTAGTAAAACTTGTCCTCTAATTTCTTACTGTGACTTAAGCCCACAGCTCTAACCCGTTGTGGCCATTCTATATAGCATTTACTCATTCATGATACAAACATATTGGTACAAAGTGGATCTTTGTAAACATTCATTTCCTTTCCATCAGTTTTGTCTTCTCTTCCCTGTCCTTCCCCCAGTCAAATAACCAACACTATGACAAGAGAAGCAGTCTTTATTCTCTTGTTTTTCAACCTGCTTAGGATGAGTTTGGCTGTAGTTACTTTCAGTCATGGCAACTCAGTGCCTCTTTCAGATAGAGTGATCTCCAGATATAATTTACTGGTATTTCTCCCTTGAGTGTGGTGTGACTTATGCTCAAAATGAGGGAGGGAGATGTGTCAACAGCCAGTCTGTTAGGAGGGAAAGCATTTCAATAAGAACCAGGGCCAAGAGTCCTATGCTTGGAACTATGAGCAAGACTATATAAACAGTCTACATTTTTGGAAGGACCTGATAATTTGAAGGCTAATCTATAAATCCTAATAGGATATAGAATGACTTTGTGAGATTTCAGCACTATAGAGGTATGAAGCTTTGTGCCTTACTTTAACCAACAAAGGTAGCTAACTTTCATATAAAATTGTTATGTGAAACGTATATCTGGATATTTCGAGAATACAGTGAACAGTTTGAAACAGTGTACTTCACAACACTTTTATTTTTTTTTTTTCAGGTACCATTTGATATCTCGCTGCCTTCTATATTCAATCTTGAGAGACTTTTCGATCTTGCTAATGGCTGTATCATATCAGGAGGAAGCCTTTTCAACTGGATAGTGTCGATTATTTCATGACCTTCCTTTCCAGGGTAACTTTAGAAAGAATCTTATTAGTATTTTTCTTAGTTTGAAATAAGTTTCTGGAACTGTTATCTTACAACTATCAAGATTATTTTCTTATATAAGCTAGAGGGTTTTTTTATAAACTATAGTGTTGAGGAATGCTTTACATAGCATTTGAATTAAATGACAATGCCAGTATTTATTCAAACTATCTTACAGAGATAGCCAAAGAAAATATGTTTGTGCATGACATAACTATTCTAATGTTTGTGGTAGTTTATGTGAGGTTGTCTTTAGACATGTCCATCCAACAAGATCGGATTAAACCAATAATTCTCAACTGAGAGCAGTTTTCTGCATCGAAGACATTTGACAGTATCTGGAGACGTTCTGGGTTGTTATAACTGGAGGAAGAATGGTATTGGCCTCTAGTGGGTAGAGGATATGGGTGCTGCTAAACATCCTCCAATAACCAAGAATTACCCATCCCAAGATGTCAGTGGTGCCAGTGTTGAGAAACCATGTATTAACCCCAACAGGTGGTCAATTCAACTCTGGAAGTTTGTCTATTGGGTTTGGAAAGAACTCTGAAGCCAGTTAGACCTTCCATATTTTATACTTCGGAGAGATCACATCTTAGTGCTCTGACTCTGCAATCACATAGACCTGGGTTTGGATAATAAGTAACTTCACCATTTGCTAGCTAGCTTTGCTACTTTAAAGAATTAATTTAAACTCTTAGGCTTTTGTTTTCTCATCTATAGAATGGGGACATTAACGTCCTTCTCATAGGGCTATTGTATGTATCAAAGTAAGTGATTTGGTGCAATGAGATGCTTAGTATAGTGTCTAATGTAGCAATGTCAGAGTCCTGGGAGTGCCGTTTCCCTGCCAAAGTAGAGGAGGACTGAGCACTTCTGACTGTCTAGCATCTAACAATGCTAAACATGAATGCTGTCCAGTTGCTGGCCCATAAATGATTACTCATGGCTAAGTAAATAAAGTAAGTAAATCTATTTTTCTAAATATAAATATAATATAATAGTATATTGTTCTTTATTCTCAGATTATGAATTTCTTACTTCCTAATGGTGTTAAAAGGACCTTTATTTTTTTTCTTTTAAAATTTTTTTTGTTTATTTTACTTTATTTGGTACTAGAAATTGAACTCAGTGATGCTTAACCTCTGAGCTATATCCCCAATCCTTAAAAATGCCTTCCTTTTATGAAACATTATAAAAAGTAAAAAAAAAGGATCAATCTTAAGTTGGCCCCTAATTTTTTAAATATAGACATCCACAGAATTTCAATATATGTAAGCAACCAAACTAGAATTGTCCTACAGAACTACATAAGTCTTTTTGGCAAGACATTTAAGGATCAGAAGAATTTGGGTAGTTGAAAAATTGCTATAGAAATTTTCTAGAATTGGGCACTGTAGGAGGGCAGAGGTATACACGTGGAAATGCACTTGGTGCATGTGCAGAGTTCTAGCCTACTACCTAGCCAGTGTATGCAGTTAGCATGGAAAATGAGATGAACTCTAAGGATGGTCTTGAATGGAGACTTGGGGCTGAATCAGTGGTTGATGGGGTGCCATTACAGTTGACTAAGGAGAGGAAAGACAAGTACATGGCACTAGTTGACATTTATAGAAGGGGTTGAGTGAAAGGAATGGCCTCCATGGAGGGTCAACATGGAGAGAAAGAGAGAGAGAGAGAGAGAGAGAGAGAGAGAGAGATCTCTCTGCTGGGTTAGAGAACACTTTGAAGGTCTGCATTTCTCAATAGATGGAGTTAAATTTTTTATGCAAAATTTGGCCACCAAGGGCAAGAAAGGTGCTGTAGATTACCTATAAATTTAATATACACATGTAGAAATATAACATGACTAAAACCCAAGGCCATTAATTTCAACCTAATGTTAGCATCCCAAGGGTATATATGCTCATCTTCCATTATTCATCACTATTAAGTCTTGACTAGTTGAATGCTTTACATTTTTTGTTATTTTAATTTTATATACTTATTTATTAATTTTTGTGGTCCTGGGAATTTAATCCAGGAACATATTTCCATTGAGCTATATTCCCAAATTGTTTATTTTTATTTTACATTAAGACAAGGTCTCATTAAGTTGCTGAGGATCTTGCTAAGTTGCTGGACCTGGCCTTAAATGTGGCAATCCTCCTTTCTCAGCTTCCTAAGTCACTGGGTTTACAGGATTCTATCCTGACTGGCACATTTTTCTTTATTGTAACTATTAGGATGCATGTACTATTTTCTAGAGGCCTAGAATAATGCCTGACACTTCATAGAGATCTATGATATAGTATAATACTTGTTCAATGAATGGATGGATGGATGGATGGAAGAAAATGACCTAGGCCATATGGCAACATGGAGTCTAAAAAAAGGAGGTAAAGGTATGGCAAATAGCTCCACCATCATTACCACTACCACTTTTGCTCACTCTTTCTGGAGCAGTTACCATGCAAAGCACTGTATTAGTAAGTACCTCATATGCATTATCTCCCTGTATTTTCCCAAGAATTGTGACCATGATGCACAGAGTATTAGTGAGGCCATGTTACAGATGGGGAAAACAGAAGCATAAAGCCCAGTGATCATGGTCAGTTAAAGATGGAGCCAGGATTTAAATCTTGACTGGAGAATCTGAGTTCTTCATTGCTAAGCCATTCCATGGCTCTGGAAAACTTGTAAGTCAAGGGAGAGTAAGACATAGCTGAGCCTCAAGTTAAAAATGAAACACCTATTATCCTGCCCTAGAAAGAGACTTTATAAAATGACTTGCAGACCTGAACGGATGCCTCAAGAAACACGATGGTGTAGAGGGAAGCAATGCTATCTAAGCCAATATACGGTTTTCCTCAGGGAAAGGCAGGGCCCTTCCAACTATTGCAGATAATATAACATTTCAGTGTATTTTTTACTTTTTCACCAGTGTCAGTTATTCATAGATGCTGTTATTATTGGGTGTTGTTTTTGTCTCAGAAAAATACTGCCTAAAACTGCAACAGACCCTGAAGTCACAGTTTTCCCATTTTAACATCATTCTACAAAGTCCCCGTCTCTTCTAAAATAGGAGCAACACTCACTAGTTAAAGCTGGAACTTTCTGTGCAAGGTGCTGTGGAAATGATGAACTGGGCTCAAGTACAAACAAAAGGAAAATTCAAAATCTACCAGATGAAAATGTCTTTCGGAGGGTTTCTTTTTTCTTTAAGACCAAATAAGTTTGCAGCTGCTTTTTAAAAATGCAATATACAGTATCTGCAAGTGCTTTATAGCATGTTCACACCTGCAGTGTTTTCTATTTGTTTTAATTATAGCAGAGAATAACAGAAGACAAACTGAAAAGGGAAGGAAAGAAAAGCAAAAAAAAAAAAAAAAAAAAGGAGGAGGGATGCAGAGAAGACTGGGAAGAGTGTGGCTAAGTGATAGGTAATAAAACCCAAGTGCTTCCCACATCTTGCTCCTTATCAATCTCCAAGCAATTGCTTTAGAAATTGACCACCTGCCAGCTATTCAGAGGCTTAAATGCTGTGGTCTCGGTTCACTTCATGCGGGCAGCTTTACACATTCCCCAGCCCAGCTGACTTGTTCTCCTTCACTGAATTGCAGGGGAGAAAAATGGAACATTTTTGGAATAAAATGGTTCACTTTACAAGAAACTTGGTTTCTGCCTCTGGTTTGCTTGTCCTTCCTTTCTTCTTCCAGACAATAGCATTGCAAATCCCTCCATGTTACTCTGAGTGACTGGGCAGGAGGATGTCCTCCCCCTGAGTTCCTAGAGTACTTCCGGATGCCCCACTCATTTGACCTCTAACGGTGCCCTTTGGCATAGTTTCTTATTGTTCTAATTTTCATAGCACAGCTTTCTACCCTTAGCTCAAGGGTGTCATAAATATGAGTCTGCCCTACATTCCTTTGACTAGTTCAGATTGAGGCCCAGTACATCATTTTGTCTAATTTAAGAGTGTTCATAAAGGCTGGGAACTTAAGTGAAAAATACATAATGCCCTCAAGGATAGTTTCAATCTGTAATATATACAGATGTTGTTCATATATTTATTAATATTATCTGTGTGCATAAGTTTGAAAAAAGTCCCTAACTATGGTTTAGAGAGTAAACAGTGAGCCCAAAAGTCTGCTGCATAATTACTCTGCCATTTTCTCAGGTTTGAAATGCTTGTTGTGGACCCCCTTGTGTGTAAAAATGTCACTGATGCATTGAGTATAATAGCAAAAATAAAATTTAAAAACCTACTAAATATCCCTCAGATGGAGAATAAATAAATTAGCCACAGTCATAGTCATACAGGAAAATACTATCCTGAAGTTATAAATGAATGAGTGATAGAATACTAAGCCTCTGCAAATAAATTAAAGAGATGTGTATCAATCTGGATTCTCTTCAAAGGCAGGTTGAGCAAGAGAACAAAATTAAGGGTTGCCAAAGAATACATAGGAAGATAGCCTTTATATAAAGTTTCAAGCAGGCAGAATAACACAATATAATATTTATGAATGTGTGCATATATCCTCAAAACGTATTTTAAACACAAGTTAATGTCTGACACCAAGTTCAGGTTGTGATCACCTGTTGGATGAAGAAGGGAAACAAGCTCTAGGAAGAATGCCTAAGAAGTTTCACTTGTGTTTGAAAATTTCTCTTTCCTAAGCTGGGTGTGTTGGTTTTTTTTTTAATTTTTTGTATTTTGTCTACTTTTTTTGCATACATGGTATATTTCATAAATTAAAAACAAATGTCTTCCTCATTTTGTTGACTGTGTACAGTTATTGGCTCACAAATCAGTAAACATCTCTTAAATGAGAAATATGATTCAGTTCTCATTATATGACTGCATCTGAATGGTTCACATCTGGTTCCATTATTTGGGTTTATAATGACAACTAATAATCATTTTGAAACTGATATCAGACTATATACATATGCCCAATTTTAGAAAACTCAATCTATGCATATATTAATTTTTAATATAA